TGCAGAAAGAAGTCTCAGGCTTGGCATGGCGTTCAGGGCCTCTCAAGCACGTTACGCCCACTCGTGTGTCCAGTCTCCCCACGAAGCCGGGCTGGGGCTGCCCGTAGCTTCCTCACTTCCAGATTGCTTCTTGGCCTGGAACACTCTTCCAGCCCATCTTCGCCTAGGCCCCAAGGCGCTCTCTCCCACGGAGGGCCTCGATTCTCCCTGATGTGGGGTCAGAGGGCTGGAGGGAGCAGCCCCACACTGCCTCGCAGCTGGGGTCGAAGCAGCTGAAAGCGGCCGTGGGACATCCTTGGATGCACACCCAGCTCAGGACGGGGTGTGACCTGAGGCAGCTGGCGTTTGCCCTCAGGTTCAATCTCTCTGTCTGTGGCACAGTAAGGCCCCAGCTGAGTACTTCCTTTGTACCAGGCGCTCTGCCAGGCCTCCTGCAAGGATCCTTCAGTGGAACCCTCACTGCGACCCTGGGGGCCGGAGTTGGTAGCTTCCTGAAGCGGGTCTGCAGGTAATAACGCCCTCCCTGCAGGACCGCTGTAAGGACTGGAAAGGACGCTGGGCACACAGCCCCAGCACAAAGCCTGACGTGACACTGTCACTCACCCACAGGAGCTCCTCAAAGCCGACAGTGCTGTCACCCTATCTTTTCACCTGCTCTGTGCACCCAGTGCCTGTCTCTGCAGGACTGTCCTCTGAGGGCCACCACCTCTGAGGCCTGCCACATGGAGAGTCACAAATGCCAGGGAGGGTCCCATCCTGCAGCCGCACAGGACGGCACAGAAGCCCACAGCGCCCTGGCCTCAAGGTGGGGCAATCCTGAGGTCTGATTTGCACTCCAGAGCTGCCCGGGACCAGGCTGGGGCCTCACGTGAAATCGCACCCTTGTGTGGCTTCTCTCCCTTCCCCGCCCTGCCCACCCACCTCCTTGCTGCTTCCTCCTTACCCATCACCACACAGGAAGCCTCATCTCAAAGGCGGCTTCCAGGAGAGCCGCACCAAGCCATTCATCTCATTGCCCTAATCCATTGCTACTGAGTTGACTCCAGCTTATGGTGGCCCTGCGTGTGACAGAACAGAATGACTCCAGAGACTTTTCTTGGCTGTAATCTTCACAGAAACAGATTGCCAGACCTTTCTCCTGTGTGCCAACTGCCACCCTTCCAGTTCACCACCAAGTACAAACTGTCTGCCTACCCAGGGCCCTGCAGGCGGCACAAAAGGGCATGAAGGGCGTGTCTTCGGTGCACCTTAGGCTGTCCTCTGATGCTGGTTCTGAACCAGTCTGCTGGGCAGAGTCTTTTTATTATTATTATTATTGTGATTTGGGTGAAATGTTACAAAGCAGATTCGCTTTCCATTCAACAGTTCATGCACACATGCACATTTTGTTTTGTGACACTGATTACAGTCCCTGCAATGTAACAGCTCTCCTCCCACCTCCTCCCTGTGGTTACCCTTTCCCCATGTCCTTCTTGCATTCCTGCCTCCCTCCCTTTCTCTCTGCACAACTGCTGTCCTTCTGATCTCCTGTGGTTGATTGTTCTAAGGAGCGCATCTCCCTGGTGTAGGCATTCAGCTCGTAGGCCTGTCTATTGTTCGTCTGAGAGTTAAGCCAGGGAGTAAGTTCAGTTCCAAGTCACCCTTTGGGTCACAGTCCCAGAGGTTTCACCAGTCTCTGTCTGACCAGTAAACCTGGTCTTTTTTATGTTTTTTAAATTTTGTTCCACACTTTCCCCCCACTCTATCCAGGATCTCCAATTTTGATCCCTTTCTGAATGGTTGGCATTGGTGGCCCAGCACCATCTTGGTCTCAGGGTCCTGTGGGTTGAGGTTCATGGTCCCTTAGTCCTTTGGACTGTTTCCACGAGTCTTTGGTTTTCCGCTGTTCTTCTACTCCAGATGAAGACAAATCAGTATTTGCATCTTAGATGGCTGCTCGTAAGCTTTTAAGACCCTAGTCGCTATTCACCTAAGTAAGATGTAGAACAGTATTTTTGTGTACTGTGTTGTGCCAGTTGAGCTTGATGTCCCCATAACCAGCTGGGCAGGATCTTAGGAGGAGGGCAGCATGGACCTCGAGGACTCCAGTGTCCCTTCTGGCCAGCATCCCCGGCAGCTGAGGCAGCAGGACTGGGGGAGGGGGTTGGGTGAGTTGCCCAAGGTCACGCAGCCATGAGGCAGCCGGTATCCAACCCCAGTCCAGGGCTGTCCTTCCACCACCAGCTCATTCCTGACCTGACACCCCTTCAAATACAGGGATACCAGGCTCTCTGTTCTGTGACTTCCTTGTGAGTTCCCTGGGAGCTGGAGGGCGGCTGGTTTTTTTAATTCCCCTTTCCACTTGCTCATTGTTCATGTACAAAAACCTGACTAATTCTTGTGTGTTGACCTCAGACCCTGTCACCATGGTGAATTCATTCACTGGTTCTAACAGCTTTATTGTTTTCTATGCCAGAATCATGTCACTTGTGAAAAGAGATAGTTTTACTTCCTCTTTCCCAATTTGGGTACCTGTTTATCTGAAGCCTAACTGCTCTGGCTGGGACATCAGCAGTGATAGTGACTAGCAGTGGTGGGGGTGGGGGTGTCCTGTCTCATTCGAGATCTTAATGGGGGAGCCCTCCAGCTCTCCCAGCACCTACTTCTCTGGACTGTGAAGGAGCAGCAGCAAAAGGAAGAAAGGCGGGGAGGTGGCAGTGGCCTTGGGGACCGTGCCCCAGATCTCCCTGGATGCCCATGAAGGTGCTGCCCCAGCAATCCCCACCCCCATGGTCCAGCCTGTGGGAACGGAACCGGAGCATCTACAGCGTGCCCGGCAGTGTGCCGTCGTGGACACGCATCCTCCCTAGCGTCTACCTCATCAATCTCATCACTCCCGTTATACAGAAGAGGAAGTTGAGGCCCGGGGAGATCAAGTAACTACCTCAAGTCCTGGGGTTTGCAGTGATGCATTCATTCATCCATATGCCCTGCCTGTGCCAAACAGCATGCAGTGCATAGAGGACCTACACCTTGGAGTAAAGGAAGCGTTTGGAAAAGGAACGAGCCTATCTCCTCCTGAGAGCTCAATAGGGCACAATGTCCAAGGGGCCAGGGAGCCTCTGCTATTCTGCCCATGGGCAAACAGCTCTGTAGGTCATCAGAACGACTGGGGACTGTAGGTATGGAAGGACCCTGGTGGTGCAGTGGTTGCAGTGCGGTGAATTGTGTAATATGGCCCTTCTAGCCATTGTCCTCCATGTTGTGATGTACTGTGAATCTTCCAGCCTGTTTAGGGTGGGCTGCATCTTGAGTCTTGTCTTGCTAGAGGGTGTGACTCAAGTCACCACCCTTAGCTTCCTTGAGGGGATATATGTGAATGTTCAAGGAGCTCTTGTAGCCTAGTGCCTAAGGCACTTGACTGCTAACCAGAAGGCTGGCTGTTCAAACCCACCAGCCACTCCTCGGAAAGAAGGTTGGGCAATCTACTTCCGTAGTAATACCACCTCCAAAACCCAAGGAGGGGTCGCTATGAGTCGGTTGACTCAATGGCACATACCAACAACAACATGTGAATGTTTTGGGAAAGTTCTGTTGTTCTGGTTGTACATTTGGTTCGTCATCCTCTCACCCCTGGCCTTGAGACAGCAGCCATCATCTGACCTGCTAATTTGGGTTCGCAAACCCCTGCAACCATGTGAGTTAGGAGAATCCTCTAAACATACCCACAAACCTGGGACTTGCCAGCCTGCAAGCTTCCCAGCCTCTGCCCGCCCCCCATGTGAACCGTTTCCTTGGGAGTTTGTGAGTTCTGTGAGACATTACGGTGAACTACAGAACCCTAAGACAAGAGAGAGATTATTGAGGGGAGGAGGGAGTGTTGATGTCAGAGCTGATGGAGTGGGACAGCAGTGTGGAAAAGCTGGACATCTGGGACATCTTTAACCTCTGTCCCATGGGGACCGGCCTTGTGCTGATCTTTCTATAAGAAATTACTCAAGCAAGTGGCTAAGCTCTGGGCTGTTGCTGGTCGGCGCCTCGAACCCACATGCTGCTGCGGGTGAAAGATGAGGCAGTCTGCTTCTGTAAAGATTTACAGCTTGGAAAGCTTATAGGGCTGCTCCACCCTGTCCTGTTCAGCAGGAGTTGGAACTGACTCCACGCAGCGTGTGAGTGGGTGGTGGGCCCACAGTGGGGCTGATCCAACAAAGAGCATGGACCTTGGCGTTGCCTCTGCTTTGAGTCCCTGCTCTGTCATTTACTAGCGGTGTGACCCTGAGCAAGTTACTTCTCTCAGTCCAAGTAGACTTATCTGTAACATGGGGGTAACAAGGGCACTTACCCTGTGGAATTGTTGGGAAGATTTAGAAAGATAATGAGTGTAAAGCCCTGAGCACAACGCTGGGCCCCTGGTGAGCCCTCAACAGAGGCGGCCATCAGCATCACCTCCTCTACCCACAGAGCACAGGAGGGTCCTGGTTGGTGGGGAGGTGTGCTCACCTGAGGCAGGTGTGGATGATTTCTCTGAAGCAGAAGTGGGCCTGGAGCCCTGGACCCCAAAACCTTCTCTAGCTAGCCAAGACACTGTCATTTAAGCCCATAGTCAATAGCACCAAATGTATTTCTAAGTTCTTGTAGACCTGAAACCAGGTCCCAAGCAACAGACACTCACTCCACCCAACAGCTGTTCAGTAATCACAAACTCCCTCCCTGCAGGAAGCCTTGGCCTTCTGCTATAGGGCTTGGGTCAGGGCAAGACTCAAGCTGTCCCTGCCCATGACCACACAGGAAGTGGGGGTGGGGGCAGTGAGCCGGGGAGGGGTCATCACCAGGTGGTTCAACACAGCATCAATGCCAACACCTCCCCTCAGGGCCACCAGGACAAAGCTAGGGGTCTGCCCCTCTCTGCACCCTCGAGGCTCCACCTTTCCCTCTGGGGGCTTCCCTGCAATCAGATGACCCCCGGCCTGTGAGCCTGAGTGATCCGAGCACCTGCCATCAGCAAGGCTGGGGCTACTCACCTACTGACACAGTAGAACGCGACCAGTCTGAAGATGTCCTCAAACACAAGGACTGAGCCTTCCAGGTACAAGACTGAGGAGAGATGAGAAAGGCTTGATGAGAGCCCTGCTCAGAGGGAAGAGGGGGTGTGGGCCCGAGGCAGGGGCCGTGCCGTTCACTGTGGGTCCCTGGCACCTGCTCCAGTGTTTGGCCTGCTGCACCCCATCCACGTCTGCTGCCTTAGGGACGTGAGAAATAAACGCCTATGGTGGCATAGTGCCTAAGGCACTTGACTGCTAACTGGAAGGCTGGCGGTTCAAACCCACCAGCTACTCCTTGGAAGGAAGATTGGGCTATCTGCTTCAGTAGAGATACCATCTCGGAAACCCAAGGAGGGGTGGCTGTGAGTCAGAGTCAACTCGAGGACAGTGAGTTGGGTTTTTTTGGTACAGTGTTAGAGGAGTCCCCGGTGCTCCACCTTGTTAACGTGCTCGACTGCTAATCTGAAGGCTAGAAGTTCAAGTCCACCAGAGGCCCCTTGAAAGAAAGGACTTGCAATCTGTTGTGGAAAAGTGAGCTACTGAAAACCTCTGGAGCGCCGTTCTAAGTCACGCGTGTGGCACCACCAGGAGTGGGATCGACTGCACAGCGTCAGAATCTCCATGGAGAGGACCTATAATAGCGGCTTGTGGGCCGTCACTAACACACACTTCTTGTTACTGGGGAGACAACACAGATGATGCCAGTGTGAAAACAATTAAAAATGGACCAGGGTCCCCTCACAGAGCAGTCTTGCACCTGGGCAATTCTGAGGCTCAGGAGGGGCCAGCTGGGGGGAAGCTGCCCGGTTTGGCCTGAGCCTGTGGGAGGTGTATCAGTCTGGGGCTGCTGAACTGGGGCCACTGGCCTTTACCCCAAGAGCCCTAGGGCCCATGAGAGCCGGGCTTGCTTGGGCTGAATGGGTAACCTGAGGTGACAGTGGCCCAACGTTTCACAGCTCTGACAAGCAAGCGGAAGTGAAGCATTTGATGGCACCGGGACCTGGAGGCCAGTGTCCTGAGGCTGAGGACGGGCTGACACTGGAGACATGGTACCCTATCACACCTGCAGCTTGGAGCCTCAGAGCAAGGGACACGGAGCATCAGAGTAAGTAGTGTGAGGTCTCCCTGCTCATCAGGGGTCCAGGCAGGCATCCCCCACAATGACCCTGACTCTCACTCCAGTGCCCCAGGTGCCCACAGTGATGCTCCCGGGCTTGGGTCCCCACCAGGAGCTTTCTGGGGCATCAGAGGAGCCAAGAACATCACCTTTTAGTTCCAGTTCCCTGAGGTTCTTCAGGCATCTTTGTGGTGGAGGGGGAAGGCAGGACCAGGTTCCAGGCCTGGCTCTGACCCTGGGAACTCAGTGTGACCCTGCATATGTCCCTTTCACTCTCACAGTCTCAGTTCTTCTACCTGCAAAGGGAAGGAGCCCTTCCAACTCTAAACACACAGGCATCCTGGTGGCTTTAGCCCAGGATAGCATCCTACTGCATGGGTAGTCTGCCAGAGGGTGATAGAGGGTGCACAGACACCATGGTTTGTTTTAATCACTCTCCTTCTGTTTTACCTGCTTTCTACATGCTAAGCAATGTTCTAAACAGTTAACATGACTTTTTTAAATGGCATTCTTCTATTTATGGCAAAAAAGTGGCATGTTTGATAGAGCTGAGGGTCAACAAAACCAACAAAAACCCTCAATGAGATGGACTGACACACTCCTACAACATGGACTCAAACATCCCATCATGAAAATGGCACAGGACCAGACAGTGTCTCGTTGTTACACATAAGGTTGCCACGAGTTACAGCTGACTTAATGGTGACTAACAACTAAGGCACTCTGGTGGCACCATGGTTAAAGCAGCTGGTTGCTAAGCAAAGAGTCGACAGTTTGAAACCACCAGCTGCTCCAAAGGAGAAAGATGAGGCAGTCTACTTCCGTAAAGATTTACAGCCTTGGAAACCCTATGGGGCAATTCTCCTCTGTCCTATGGGGTCGCTTTGAGCGGAACTGACTCAATGACAGTGGGTCTGGCTGGCTTAACAACAGCAGATTTATGTATCCCATTAGGATAGATGCATAAAAAGGTGAGTTTAGAGAAAAACGGTAAGTATGTTATAGTAGGGGAAGTGCTCAGAAGTAACCTTCAAATGAGTTCATCTGAGAAACACCACATGTCATATTACCAAAAACCCACTGTTGTTAAGACAATTCCGTAACACCCCACATGATACAGCAGGACGCGCCGTAGAGTTTTCTCAGCTGTAATCTCTACAGAAAGGAGTGCTGGTGGTGCAGCAGTGGAGCACTCAGCTGCTAACCGAAGGGCTGGTGGTTGGAACCCCCCCAGCAGCTCTGTGGAGAAAGACTTGGAAATCTGCTCCTGCAAAGATTACAGCCCAGAAAACCTTCTGGGGGCAGCTCTGCTCTGGACGTTGAAAGGGACTCAACAGCACTTGCTAACAAGTGTTTACGGAAGCAGGTCACGGTGACTTTCTTTAAACCAACATTTAGGTTCATAAACCAAAAATCCAAACTCACTGCCATCAAGTTGATTCTGACTCATAGTGACCACCTTTGGGTTTCCAAGACGGTAAATCTTTACGGAAGTAGATTCCCCAGTCTTCTTTCTGAGGAGCAGCTGGTGGGTTTGAATCGCCAATCTTCTGGTTAACAGTCAAATGCCTTAGACACTGTGCCACTAGAATTCCTTTTCAGGTTAGTAGTCAATCTTTTGTGCCACCCAGGGACCTGGACGTATTACCACAGTGCCACCTAGTGCTTGCATTTTGTACAACACTTACTTTCTCCACAAGAAGCAATGCGGACTGCAGCGGCCAAGGGCTGGAGCCACTGAAACCCTACGGAGCTCATTTCTACTCTGACCCACAGTCTCCATGAGTTGGAATGAACTCAGTGCGCACTGGTTTGTTTTTCATTTTGTCTTTGCTTATAGCTCAGGCTGTGCACCGAGATTCCATCTTTGCCCTTTCCCGTCTTCAGGGCTCAGCTCTAGGCCCCCCTTCTGCCCCAAAGCCTTTCCCGTGGATTCCAACCTCTCCCTAGGAAAGCCACACACAGGATGTCCTGGGCACACCCCATGCTCATGTGTCAGGGAAAGCTTGCACACGTTTTCCTACGGTGACTGGGAGGCGCTGGTTCCCGCACCGACAGCAGGGGCAGGTCTCCCCTTCCCTCGTCACCCGCCCGGTGCCTGGCAGACTGCGTCTCTGTGCAGAAGGCTGGGCAGAACCAGCTTCTGGTGCTGAAATCGACAGTGGAATCTACAGAGCCAGCAAGCAGATTGGTGGTTGCTTTGGGCTGCGGAGGAAGTGAGATAAAGGGCCGATAGCTAAAGAGACCGGATTGGTTTTGAAGTCTGAAAATGCTCTACGGCTGCACAACTCTGACTACACTAAAAACACCGACTCCTACACTTTAAATGGGTGAATTGTTTTG